TGGCCCACGGCTCTGTCCTAAGGGCTGCGGCACAGCTCCTCCCCACCGTTCATGGTCTGTGTGCCAACACAAACACTTCTCAGTGCATTGTTGCTGCTTTTGTACTTATGGTTGGTGGAGAGGGACATCAGTATCCTTGGTTCTGGTGCTCAGACCTTAACTGAGTCTATTAGGTCCAGTGGACAGATGTTTATGTCCTCCTCTAGGTAGTGCTGCAGAGAGGCAGCCTGACGACTGAGTCATAGCGCCCCCTGGTGTTTATTCCCATCAAAATTTAATAAGCGAAGAGGGGCATACTAAGTGAGAGTGAATGATGGATATGGAGGGGGAAAATTAAATTTCAATGTGATAAATTGCATCATAGAGAGTAACAAGACAAATGGGAGCTAGGCATCACACACACACACACACACACACACACACACACACAGGGGGGTCAAGTCAGGCTAAGGAAATCATTATAGATAATGTTAACATCTATAATTCCCTCACTACCTATTATGTATTTGATGTTGGACTAATCATTCATTTCCTTGGTTAACACAAGGGTCATGAGGTGTGTTTAGAGGCAATAATAGGTACTCATTACCTTATGACTCGATGACTGCTATATTTCTTTTAAAAGTTTTTATTGCATTTGTGTTTATTGTGTGGGTGCACATGCACCAGCCCCATGCATGCGGAGGTCTGAGAACAACGTTCAGGAGTCAGTTCTCTCCTTCCATCGTTTGGGTCCTGGGGGTCAAACTCAAGTGGACAGGCTTGATAGCAAACATCTTTACTCATCTGACCGGCCCAGATGGCTAACACACTTCTATGAGACAGATATTATCTCAATTTAGGAAAGTGGATAACAAACTCGTGGCCAAGAAGGCGGCAGAGTTAGGGCAGGAGGTGCTTGTGAGCTCGCACTGGCTCTGCTTCTGGAGATGGTGGGGCCTTTGCCTTCTCGGTGGCCTCCCCTAAGCCTCGGTGCTCAGCTCTGCCTGCGGTCTGCCCAGGGTGGCTATTTGTGGCTCAGGGAGGTGTCCAGTGAAGCTCCCCTCATAAATTATGGAGAGAGAGACACATGTGGGTCAGGATGGGGGAACTCAGTGCATGAGGGAACCCCTGGAATCTTGCTCTCTCTAATCAGGGAGTTTCCCTCTGTTCCCAAGAGAGCAGCTGATTCAGACAGCAGAGCCGCCAGCCTCGCAAGGGCTTCCGGGGTCCTCTCAGGTCCTGCGGCCGGGGCTCCCAGCCCTGGCTGCTGGCAGCTGTCTGCCTCATCCCCCTAAGCTCATTTTAGCACCTGTCTGCTATTTCGTGCGCCCTGTGCTCACACAAGCAGGGCTTGAACACTGCTGGGAATTTTGTGACCTGCACATTCTCGCTCTATTCAGACTCTGGGGACCCCAGCTATTTTCTGAGCATGCTTAGCTTCCTGGGGTATCAGAAAATGTGGGTCTTGCAGAGATGTTCCTTTCTGAATGGCCCTTGGCACCTGCGTTTGAGTTTGTGGTGTGTTTTTAACATTTCAGTTTCTTGGTCATTGTTAGTCTTCCGTTTAAATCCTGTACACCCCTAACTTCCTCTGGCAGTCCTCTCCTCCTCCTGACTTGCTCATCTCAAGTGTCTAATCTGGTCGCTAAATTATTAGTTTGGGGGTGTCTGGAAGGAACCTGGCAGGAAGTAAGGGGTTGGGAACTTTTTCCGTGAATGAAACTTGCCAATCTTCATGTGGCTTTTGGGCTCCAAATTAGATGGATTTTTGTTTGTTTGGGACAAAGGTTTGCTATGTAGCCCAGGCTGGCGTCCACTCCAAGGTTCCCGTTGCTTTTGCAGGTTTGGTTACTGTCAGGCTACTGAGGGCGGAGGCCCTCAGCCATCAGTCTGGAGTTGGATTGCACCAGGGGTTTCCTTGTACGTGTGCAGGGCAGTGGAGGCTTACTTCTTAAGGGACTTACGAGGAGCCGGGGTGAATCTTCTCTCCCTGGGACAGGTGGCAGCATGGAGGGGAGAGCAGGGACAGGGAGGAGTACAGGACAGGGCCGCTCAGGACCGGAGCCCACTGCTGACAGGGTGTCTGGCTTCCAATTACACTGCCTCAGAGCTGCGCACAAAATTAGCAGCCACATTCTCCCCTAAAAGGAGCCAGAGAAATAGCTGCATTCAGCAGAACCCCAGGCAGGGGCAGAAGGCAGAGGGAGGAAGGACAGGGCTGCCCCATCATGGCATGGCATGGCATGGCATGGGTTCCAGGCCACTCCTGTAACACCCCTGGCCCCTGCTGCCCAGGTGGCTCCCAGGATGAGGCAGGAACACAGGAGGTTCCTTTGTGGGGAGGGAGCACGGAGTGTGGGAAGCTGAGAACTCAAGAAACCTGAGCAGGTGGCCTAGAGTGCTCACCGCACGCACACAGGCACGCAAGCGCGCGCGTGCACACACACATACACACACACACAGAGCCAAAAAGAAAATAATGAGAAATGGTTTAGAGAGTGTGTGTGTTGGATTGTGGGAGGATACACTACCTGTGTGTGTGTGTGTGTGTGTGTGTGTGTGTGTGTGTGTGTGTCTGTCTGTCTGTCTGTCTGTGGTTATGGGTCACAACCATGATTCTATTATTGTGATGTTGCCACTCTTCAAGTTAGAGGGTCTTTTAGAGACCCTGAAGAAACCCTCACACTTGGCCCACACACAGTTGCACACAAGTCTGCACAAACTGGCCTTGGACTTGGTATGTAGATAAGAAGGTCATGAACTTCTGACCGTCCTGCCTCCACCTCTGGGCGCTGGGATTGAACCTAGGGCTTCACTCATGTTGGGCGAGGCTCTACATCCCAGCCCCAAACAAACGTATTTTAAGGCCAGGACACTTAGGCTGTGACACAGTCTGTCTTTCACTAGTGCTATGTGACATTCTCTTGTGGAAACGGTGTCATCATTTCCTGTTTCCTGACCAACTGTTGACCGACACCCCCCCCCCACCAAGCTTGTACCTCGGTGCTCACAGACACCCTCCATACCGCACCCCTCCTAGTTTCCCAGACACCCCTAAAGCCAGGACACCTGAGCCCTGAGGCCTGAACCAGCGCCTCCGGATCTGTCTAGCTCCTCCCGTGTGGATTCTTCTGAAGCCCAAGGCGCCTGGTTTGCAGTTTTGCATCGTGCTGACTCCAAACTGCTTCTGCAGCACAATTAGGGGCCAGCTTTTCTCTGGATTTCACAGCAGTGGGGCCTCAGGCTTCAAGCTCTGACCCAGAGCTCTCACTCCCTCTGTCTACCCATGCCTGGAAGAGTTCCTTGGTTCCCACAGGCACCCCGGCCAACAGCTGAGAAATCCCTTTCAATGTTTGCTGTGACATCCAGCTCCTCAGGGGAGCTCAGGGTGGACTTCCTGCCAGGAGGGGGACCTGTGGCCTGCACCCGGTCTCCAGCAGGCACTGGAGTCTCAGCTCAGCTCAGGGTGGACTTCCTGCCAGCCGGGGACCTGTGGCCTGCACCCGGTCTCCAGCAGGCACTGGAGTCCCATCTCTAACAGCACGTGTGTTTGCTGTTCCTAAGGCCCGGTGAGCCAGTCTCTAGCTTCAGTCGTGGGCGTAATCCCTACCCATCTCAGAACTTGAAGATCTTGAATGAGCATCTTGTAAATATACTTAAAAGGCCTAAACACACCAGCGGCAGCATTTTTACCTGCTTGTGATAGGATGGCCTTCCTCTTGGCACCTTGATGTATCTGTGTGGCACAGAAGCCTGAACACAGCCACTGGCCGAGTGTCCCTCCCCCCTTTCTTTCCTGTCCCCTCCTGCGGCTTTCTCTAACTTTGTTTCTATCTCCCCAGGAGCCCATGCCTCGCAGGGTCATAGGGAGGGCAGTTCTCACTTGGCAGGTTCTATCCTGGGATGCTGGATCCATCCACTCTAGGCTGAATCAGGACCAGAAGGTCCCTTGTGGTGGCAGGAGGGAGGGGGCCACCAGCAGTTCTGTTTTCTTGGAGTCAGAGCCTGGGGAGTCTGAGGCTGGTTCCAACCAAGCCCTGTTTAAGGTGAGAAATGTGGGTGGCCAGACTCCCCAGTGGCAGGGGGTGGGGTGTCCTCACAGCCCCACCTCCAGGTTGGGGAGATACAATACTGGTTCAGGCAGAAGGGTACAGGACTCAGGCTCATTTATCTAGTGATGGCTGCTGTCTCCCTCTGCACACACCAGTGAGCGAAGCTATCAGGGGGTGTGAGTAAGAAAGGACGGACATTGTCTGGGCTGCTGGGTCCAAACTCACTGTAGGCTTCTTTCTGCCGAGCTCCCTGCAGGATCGAAGGTCCCTGTGCACTAGAAGGAACTGACAAAGAACTTCCTTTTTCTGCTCACGTAGTCTGGGTGTCTGCAGGATGGTGCTGGCCTGGAAGAAGCAGCCTGACACAGGAATAGGGGATTCCAACTGGGAGGGACCGGCTGCCGGAAAAACCCTGAGAGTGAAAGGAAGGCGTGGTCGCGACGGGCCTGTCACTCAAAAGATAACTTTCTAGATGAGATCTACAGGAGGCAGGAAGGGAGCATTGGAAATGAGGAGGCAGCGAGGGAAGGGAGAGCTGGGGAGAGGAGGCAGCCTGCAGGGTCCTGGGGAGTCTAAGGCCAGCAGGAGAGCAGAGGAGAGAGATGCAGGCAGTTTGTAAGGAGAACTTCAGGGTGCTTGGCAGCTCTGGGAGAGCTGAACATGGGCTCTCAGAGTCCAGAGCACCAGGGAGAGGGCAAGATGGGGCATAAGTCAACCTTCACACCCTAGTATAAAGAAGAAGCAGGGTGCTTCCTGGCAGAAGTGTCTCCACCAGACCTCAGGGACGGCAGGCCTTGGGAGCTTGGGCAAGGGCCTCAGGGAATGAGAGTGACGATGAGTTCCCAGGGCCAGGGGTCTCCCTAATGGACTAGAGGGAGCTGAAAGCTTCTTTGGTGGGTGGGGCTTAGCACCAGAGACAGGCACTGCTGAGGAAGTCCCCAAAGCCAGTGGCCTCATGCAAGCCCAGGACTCAAGAGTAGCACTTCCTCAACTGCTGCGCAGCCAGGAAGTGGGTGAGGAGAACTGAGGGACCAGGCAGCTCAGAGCCTGGAGGAGGTACTCCAGGGAGGGAGAGGCCTGCTCAAAGGCTGCTCCTGGAGACCTCCAAGCCTCGGGCGGCTCCCAGACACAGACAGGAGGAAGTGAGAGGGCAGGGCCCTCGTCCACCTACTCTCCCGCTCACCCACAGCCATGGCCTTGGCCCAGCAGCTGCGTTCGGAGAGGTGAGAGTGTGCCCACATTCCCTCCCAGGCTCTCTCATGGATCCCAGCAGGCCTGTGAGGGGGCTGCGGGTGCCAAGAGGTTGTCCTTTTCTGTTGCCCGGGATCAGTGCCTCAACGCCAGATGCAGGCTCCCGCAACTGTTTCTGGAACCTTGACTTTGTAGGTCAGCGGTGAGAATTCTAAGGCTCAGAGTGGGGCGTGGCTTGGATGTGGCCCAAGGCCACAGGATGAGTGGGTGGCAGAGCCTGAGAGCACAGGTGTCCTGGGGACTAGGCTTGGGTTCCTGGTACTTTGCAGTCAGAGGTGGCTCTCCATCAGCTGCTCAGGCAGAATCAGCCTCTGTGTTTCCTGTCTTTGCCCAGGGCTGGGTTCAGAGAGCCCTGGCTCTGCTTATCGACTCTGCTTCCTTTTCTTGAATGACACTTAGTGTGGGGGGGGGGAGGGTCTCGATTACTAATCTTCCTCTGCCCTGTCTGCCCGAGGGTGTTTTTGGTCTTTTGGATCACGGCTGTGTCTTTGGGAGGCCGAGCAGTCCAACTAGATGATCAATAAATCCACTGAAGCTCAGTAATGACCTAGATCTGTCTCTGAGGAGACAGACACTGTGCAGACAGGAACGGTGAGGCCTGGTGGCCCCTCTTCGGTCAGCCAGGTCCATGCTGCCATCTGCATTCGAGGACGCAAGTGACAGAGTTTGGAGTCTGTCCCCTGATCAAACAGAAAGCAACACTAGGGAGCAAGCCACCCTCCGAACCACTTGGGAGATACCAGAGCTGGGTCTGGCTGATGAGGCCCAGGTGGGAACACAGGGCCATGAAATCTGGCAAAAATGATGGGTCTTCTGCAGGTCAAAGGTCAGAGGGGGCCTGTCCGTGTGGCAATACGAGTTAGTGCCAGGACAGGGGTCAGAATGGCCCTCCATGGTGCAGAGTTCAGATGACACCTGCGAAGGACAGCAGGGCTGAGTGTTTTCTCCACCTACTCTGCCCGTTTCACAGTTGTGCTCCGCCCTCAGAGGGGCAGCTCCCCTCCTCTGCCCCTCATGGGGTCACGGGTCCAGGTCCTAAGGCCACCAGATCCAGCATTTCCAGTGCTGCCTTGAGAATCACCCTAGCAGAGATACAGACAAGGAGAGTACATACAGCATCCATTTCTAGAAACTTGTGGACAAATGTCCAGAGCTAAACAGGGCCACTTCAAGGGCAGCTGGGAGTTTAGATGCTATAGCCACATGTCCAGCCCCTACTGCGGTTGAGGTACCAAGAACCTGCAGTTTTCAGGACTCTCCAGATCAGGTCCTCAAGTTGACCACCACAAGCAGTTCCCCTGTGCATGGAGTCTGGTGTCGGCCCAGCAGAACCTGAGTGTGTCCTGAGGAGACAGCTATCCTGGAGGCTTAGTGGGTGCCCAGGCCTCTGCCCTCTCCCCACACCACAGCCTCCTTGCCAACTTAGCAAGCCACGGGGCTGCCCACACTGCATCCAGCAGCCCGCTGGCTAGTCACAGGCAGAGGCCATTGCTGAGAGCCTCCTAAGCACCGGTGCCATTCTGGGCACTTAACGGATGCGGTGTGAGGGCATCCCTGCCCTTCCGATGTTGTAGGGATCCTGGTTGTCACAGAGGGGATCTCCTGACCGTATGTCATTGTCTCCATTGTTAGAGGGGTGGGAGGAACCAGAGGATGGGGAGAGGCCCCCAAGGTCCCTTCTGGTCCAACCTGGTATATCTTCTGATACCAGTGCTGCATAGCACACTTCTAGATTCTTCCGCCGCAGAAAAAAAGTTGAGGTCCTTTCACAACGCATGAAGATCCCTTGTGTGGAACCTGCCTGTGTCCTTGTTCTGTCTCGTGTCCTGTGTTCTACCAATGTGCCCTTTGCACTGTCCACCGCCTCCCCTGCCTGAAAGCCCCCCCACACACACACCCGCCGCTGTTGCCTGCCGACCCCTCTCCGCTTCCCTGCCTTCGGCTGCAGGCAGCTTCACTTCCCTCTGGCAGCTCTAATTTCTGCAGCTCTGCTGATGCCTTGAAGGATGCAGCAAGGATCACCTCTCTTTCGGAGATGTCTTGGCTGTGGTGAAGCGGGAGGATTACTCATTGAGTATTCAATTCCCCCACTCTCCAGAGTGGGGTACAAGAGACTGGGTCCTTGCGTGCTAAGTAGTACCCGTTCTATGGCCCAGGCAGCAGAATGTGGGAACAGGCCAGGGCTGGGGTTCTATGGCCCAGGCGGCAGAACGTGGGAACAGGCCAGGGGCTGGGGTTCATCCAAGGTCTCTGAGTTGCTTTGTCTTAATCCCAGCTTCCTCACCTGGGCAAGCTCCTTAACCTCTCTGTGACTCCATTTCCTAGTTCTGTGACTCAGGTACCTAGATTCTGGTGTGACCTCAGCACTCCCAGCTAAATCATTGTTATCCAACCTTCCAGAGTAGCCCGTGGCCACTCCTCGCTTCTCCATTCCTTCCCGCTCTACCCCAGCCTTAGTGCTCAGGAAATCGCTATTGAATATAGCATTGCACTAAGCCTCTGGGGGGAGTAGATGGGGCCACCCTTCCCAGGGGCTCCTGCGTCACGCTGAAAAGTGAGTGGGAGGTCACCCGTGGTCACAGAGGAACTCCAGACTGAGAGACAGCCCCCTCTGGCCTGCTGACTCCCTGAGTCACTGCCTGGTGACTCCCGTGTCCTGATGCACCATCCAGGGATGGACCAGGTCCCAGGGGGCGAGGTGAGCAGCATGGACTGGGATGAGGGGTGCCGGCTCCTAGGTCCCCACCTGCCGTGAGGCGTGGTACAGAGCACACTGTCCCATTTGTGTCCCAGGCTCCGCCAGGAGGGCCCAGTTACTCCTCCTCCTCCTCGTCGTCACCCTCCTCCTCGTCGTCACCCTCCTCCTCCTCCTCATCACCCTCCTCCTCCTCGTCACCCTCCTCCTCCTCCTCCTCGTCACCCTCCTCCTCCTCGTCACCCTCCTCCTCCTCCTCGTCACCCTCCTCCTCCTCCTCCTCATCACCCTCCTCCTCCTCGTCACCCTCCTCCTCCTCCTCCTCATCACCCTCCCTCTTTCCCACCCATGTCCCTCCCCCTCCCCATCTCACCCTCCCTGCCCTTCTCCGGCCCCCTCCCCCCGTCATCTCTTCCTCATTCTCGCCCTCCACACCTCTTCCTCTCCCACCTCACCTTTCTTGTCCTCCTATTCTCCTCCTCCTCCACCTCTGCCTCCCCTCTTCCTCAATGGTCTGGCTCTGCAGCCTGGGCTGATCCCTTTCCTGCACCTCTGAATTTCTGAGATCACAGGTACGTGCCACCAATGCCCGGCTACCCCTGTTTCCTACTTCCTGGTCTGGGTACAAGTGGCTGGGTGACCTTGGCTGTGCTTGGTGGCCTGTTTTTCCCTTTCTCTGATTGTCCTCCTCAGCCCTCTCCCATTCACTGGCAACTGGAGGGTCTTAAGTCTTATCCACAGCCATAAACCATAGGTAGGAGGCTCTCAGCCTAGCCATGCAGGTCAGCGCCCCCACGCCACTCCCCACACCTGCACACCAGCTTCCTGTCCGGGGACATCTCACATTAGCCTGACCTGAACTGAGTCCCCAAGCCCCCTCTCCCTGTGCTGGTTAGGAGCACTTGGCCGGGCTGGCAGTTGTGGCATATAACTTTAATCCCAGCACACAGAAAGCAGAGGCAGGGGGATCGCTGTGAGTTCCAGCCTAGCCTGGTCTACAGAGTGAGTTCCAGGACAGCCAGGGCTGTTATACAGAGAAACCCTGGAGGGGGCAGAGAGAGACAGAGAGAGAGAGAGACAGAGACACAGAGAGAGAGAGAGACAGAGACAGACAGACAGAGAGGGGGGAGGAAGGGAGAGAGAGGGAGGGAGGGAGAGAGAGAGAGAGGGAGAGAGAGAGAGAGCATCACTCTTGTCATGCCTTCTCTTTCATTCAGCTGCACTGCCTTACCTTACCTTGGTCATGTGTCCCTTTGGAAATGCGTTAGGCTGCAGGGAAAACAGTGGCCAGTTGTTTTTTTCCACAGTGAAAGTCCCGAGGAAAGCTGCTCTGGCTCTGTAGCTCAGGGGGCGTGGCACTACAGACTCTCTCCTGCTGCCTCATGCTTTTGCCTCATGGGTGCCCTGTGCTTGCTACAGATCCAGATGTCACCCCCCATCCCATCTCACTGACCAGAGCTAGTCACATGGTTGCTCTGGGCCTCAAGGGCCCGTGGGAACAGGAATAGGTTTTGTATGCCGATGATGACATACTGCCTCTCCAAGCTGGGCACACTCCATGCTGGGCACGGCTCACACTCGATTGGCCAGGAAAAACCACACAAATGCTAGCCGCATCACTGAGGTCCTATCTGTTGTGCGACCCCTATGACCTCCCACCCCTGGGGCCTCCTAAGGACCTGTCTCATGCAGTCTCCGCCCTCCTTCCTGTCCACATTGCTGGCTGCCCATGGTGAACCCCTCACTTCAGGCTTTTCCCAAGCCCACCCAGCTCCCTGCTCCTAAGACCCTCAGACCAGCTTATCCACCTCAAGGCCCATCAGGCTCTTCCTCAGGGCTCAGAACCTTAGCAGAAGCTGTCCCCACTGGCTGGAAGGACCTCCCTAGTTTCCAGTGAGTTCCAGTTGACCTGCCTACACAGTCAGCCGTTCTCTTCGCTGGGGCGGGGCCGGGGCGGGCGCTCTGTCAGTCCGCCTCGTGTTACTCTAACAGAATACTGCGGTCAATGTATGGAGTAAAAATGCTCATGTGGGTTCACGGTTCTATAGATCCTGGTCAAAAGTGGGGTACCCCCTGTGCCGTGGGCCTCTGGCAATAGCAACACATTGAAGCAAGAGTACAAGGCAAAGTTACCCGCTTGCGTTTGGAACCAGATACAAGCAGAGGGGCCGGAGACAAACATGCTCCCCTGTCCCTCTCAAGGCCCGCCCTGGGAACCCAAATGCCTTCCACGAGGCCCATCCTTCCTAGAGGTTCGCAGCTCTTCCCTGGGGATTCTTGGGGACTAAGTCATTAACTGCGGCCTATGGGGACACCCATACGAACCCCTGCAGGCCCCCCAGCACACTCTTAATGCAGAGCCTACCTAGCACAGGACTGCCACAGAGGGGCGCAGGCTCCCGGGTGGGCAGTGTGGCTGCCAAGTGGCTGGTGGTGCCCAGCTGCAGCTCAGCGTCCCCCATGCTCAGAGCGTGACCTGGTATCTCTGGGTTCCCAGTGAGGCGCCGGGCGTGGACAGGGTGCAGAATGAGGCTTGCAGGGCTCCACCAGCTTTGCCCAGGCAAAGGCAGTGAGTAACTGGTCCCCTCCTCTGGCCTCCCCCAGTGACTTTGAGCAGCTTCCCGACGACGTGGCCGTCTCAGCCAATATCGCTGACATCGAGGAGAAGAGGGGCTTCACCAGCCACTTTGTGAGTCAGCAGCCCCTGTTCCTTTGCCCTCTAACCTCTGACCTTCCGTCTTTCGTCTCCTGTCTCAGTAAGGCAGCGTTTCTCTTTGGAACACCTGGCAATTCTCTGAGACATCTTGACAGTGGTTTCTCTAGACAGGCTGATTGCCAACATGTGCTGGATGGAATGTGGGAGGAAACTGGGGTGCTCCTGAGTGCAGACAAGCACACAGGACACCCCACTGGGGGCTCACCCCACCCAGTACAGTGCAGGGCTTGGGAAAGCCCTGTCTGCGACCTCTGACCTCATCCTGTGCCGGCTGCTTCTGCCCTGACCTCCGGTTCCTATGCCCGCCTCTGGGTCCTCCCTACTTCAGTGCCCCGTGCCTATCCCTGGGGTCCCTTGCCCCCCCCCCTCGCATCCCCGTCCCTCCACCTTCCCGTCCCCTGATCTCCCCGGCCCTTTCACCTCCGGTCCCCCCCCAGCCCCCCAACCCTCTCTACTTTCTAGACCCCTCTGTTTCCTAACTCTCATCCCACAACCACCCCAGACTCCAGGGCTCCCCCCAACTCCCCAGCCCCCTACACCACCACAGCTGCTCCCACATCCCAGCTCCCTTTCCCCACCCCTGGCCTCTCTCCTCCTCTGCAGGTTTTTGTCATTGAGGTGAAGACGAAAGGAGGGTCCAAGTACCTCATCTACCGCCGCTACCGCCAGTTCTATGCCCTGCAGAGCAAACTGGAGGAGCGTTTCGGGCCAGAGAGCAAGAGCAGCCCATTTACCTGCAGCCTGCCCACGCTGCCAGGTAGGCTGCACGCTGCCCTCAGGTCCAGAGCTGGCCTCGGTCCCCGCCTCACTCACCTCCCAGCTCTGCAGAGTGTTATTTCAACCCCTTTCACAAACTATTCACTTGACCAGTGCCCCTCCTGCAGCAGCCACAGGCTGGCAGTGTCCCCTAACAGCCCCCTCCCTGCCACCTGTGTTCCCCCATGGCCAGCCCTCTGTTTTCTGGGTGCCTTCACGACCAGAGTTTCTGCCTCCTAATATGGCCATCCACCCCCTGGGAGCCCAGAGTGGGATCACGCAGCACCTGAACTCTGGTCTTTCCTGCCGCCCCCAGCCACCATGAGGCTCCTTCTCTGCCCCTTGAGGAAGCTGGGTCCCACATAGTTCTGAGTACAAATAGCCTCCAACCCCATCCGCGTCCTCCCAGGCCTCCTTGTCACGTGCCCCACCCTGTTCCACGTCTCAGGTGCCGCCCCGTCCTGAGCTAGCCCAAGCAACTCCTTGGATAGGCAGCTGTCTCTGTCATGCCACTTACATCTTCCCGAGCCTCAGAGGCCTGTCTTTCTTCCCTTCTCCCAACCCACCTCCCATGTGTGCGCGGTCCCCTCCTCTGGAACGAGTCACGTTCTCTTCATCCGGTCCCAACAAGGACACCGGACTGAGTGGCAAGGGCCCTCCCATCCCCCAGTCGGGAGTGGTGAGGAGGCGGCTCTGCCATTCCGAGCTGACACCTCTCTCCTCGGATTCCATCCTCATCCTCCTACCCTCCACACTGCCCCTGCGCAGGGCATCTGCATAGGCTCCTCTCCACCCCACCAGCTGATGAGCTACCATGAAGTATCCCTGCAGCTCAGGGTCTCACCTCGCATCTCCCTCTGCTCTGGTTTCAGCTCCTCCCCCCCACCCCAGCACTGACCTCAGGACAGAGTCCCGTAGTTGCGGTCTGCTGTCCAGAAGCTGAGGGTCCCTTTACGTCTCCTCCACTAGGCCTCGTCGATCTCCATCCTGATTCCTGTTCACCCTTGTGCTCACTCTGCTCTCCCGACCACCCTAGGAACAGGGCGACTCCCTGCCATGCTTGTCCTTTCTTGTCTTCCCATAGCAGACATCCACTCTGGCAAGCCGGCTGGTGCCTGTGACTGTCACTTTTCTGTTCATGGCTCCTGCCTCGTCCCACCCTTTATGAACCACCCTCCTGGCCACACAGGTGACCAGCCTGCCTGTCCTGTGGCACAGGGTTGCCTTCCGATGCAGCCCTCTGGGTGGCAGCTCCCCCAAGAGCCTGCCTCTCGCCACCCTCCTCCCTCCTCCCTCCTGCCTCCCGCCTCCTGGTGCTCCTGGAGGACATTCGTCACTTGGTTGGACATCACCTGCTGCCTCTTTCCCAGAACACTCCTCCTTGCATTTGGGGCATGGCTCTTTCATCCACAGAACAGATACTTAGTCGTCTGTGTGTGTCAGTATGTGTGAGTGGGACCTGGGACCCACAATTTCTAACTATGGCAGTCTACTGAAAGGGACCCTGGGAAGGCCCCACCTCCATGATTCAGTGTAGTTGTTCTGAGGACTTACCTAGCGAGATACTGACCAGACTGTTATCCAAGCCTGAGGAGGAGAAACCACTTCGATCAGGGCAGGCAGAGATCCCATGCTCAGAGCTAAGGCTTGTGAGTGCGTGTACATGAATACATGTGCATCTGCTAAAACGTGTGTGTGTGTACATACATTTGTGTGTGAAAGCATTTTGCATCTGTGTGCTTATGTGTAGTGTACATTGGATGAATGTGTGCACATAAGCCTTATGTGTGTACTTGCATATATGTGTATGTGTATGCTTTTGCATGTGGGTACACTGTATATGTATATGTGCATGTGTATGCATGTGTGTACACTGTATATGTATATGCACATGCACACATGTATGCACATGTTCCTGAATGCAGTATATTTGTGTATATGTGTGTACACATATGTGAGTCTGTATAAAAGATCATGCGTGTATGTCTGAGTGCATGTATGCTCTTGCATGCACGTGTATGCGTGTATGTGAGTGTGAATGCATGTGTCTATGTGAGTGAGAGTATTCATGCATGGACTTGTTGTGTTTGAATTTTGCACGGGTGTATCGGGTGTGTACAGTGTGCCGAGCGTGTATGTGTGTTCATGCATAAATGTGAGCGGGTGTATGTGTATACACACCCTTGTATAGGCATGACACAGAGAATTCCCTGTACCTTCTAGTGATTAGGAGACGCAGCTGGAAAGTGTCTTGATCACACCCTGGTTCTGTGACAGAAGGCAGAAAGAGTCTTGAGCTGGGGAGAGGGGCACTGGGCAACTGTCTGCCAATGAGGCCGTTGAAGAGCAGGCACCATGCGGTCCAGGCTCTGAGCAGCTTTTCCCTCCACAGCCAAAGTCTACATGGGTGTGAAGCAGGAGATCGCCGAAACCCGGATCCCTGCCCTCAACGCCTACATGAAGGTACCTGCTTCCACGTTCCCTCGGTGCTTGCACAGTCGGGGGGGGGGAGTTCCTTGGGGCATGAATTTGAGAACTGGGCTTTCTTTGAGGCCCCCATGGCCCTACCTTCAATCCTAAGAAGCCTGGCTAGAAAGAGAAGCAGAGTATGTTCTCAAGGATCCAGGAGCTGGGCCATGAGGAGTCACGCTTGACAAATCCTTGAGCGTGCCAAGCTCTGGGACACAGTGCCTGCTCCCCCAGGACACCTGCTGCCCATTGGGATGATGGCAGGTAAACCACAAAGCCACACAATGGGGCATAACAGCAGATTACATCCTGTCCCTCAGGCCAGAGAAGGGCCCCTTTGAGCTCATACATCTTTTCACCCAGACACAGCTGGACATGGGCTGCACTCACTGTCCTCGGCTAGGTGTTCTGTGTGTTCCCACTATGGACACTGTCAGCTTTCTAAGCCATGGGGACATACAAGAAATGGTGCTAGAGGCAAAGGCCAGGGTAGCCAGGAAAGGACACCCCACCCCCCGCATTGCAACCATGCAGGGGAGGGTCAGTGTGCCTTGCAAGGTAGTGAGCACCCCGTCAGTAGAAGCATCCAGGCCACGGCTTGATGGAAAGCCTTCCTCGGTGTCCAGAGGTGCCTTTCACAGCTTTAGTGCTTTGGAGGCTTGTTGGGATGGGTGCCTTGGAGTGAACAAGGCATCCTCCCTCAAAAAGCCATGACTTTCTCCTCTGTGAAATGGACGGTCCCTCCGGCTCTCCGTGCTCGCTCCTAGAGTGAAGCTGGAGTCTGTGGAGAAAATGAGGTGAAGGTGTTCTTAGAGCTGTGAGCCTGCTTCTAATTGTGATCCTGAGGTTTTCCACAGGACTCTGGGTGCCTCTCAAACAGTAGCTCCCCCAAACTGGCCTCTGCTCTTCAGGGTTCCCGGACCTTCTGGGGCTAGATAGGGAGCCACGCCGGGCCCTCCTGCTCCATGTCCTCGTAGCTTGGTCACAGTGTTTGGACACAGGGTGGGAAGAGGAGAGGGCATGGGATAGAATATACCAACCTGCAAGCCCCGCCCCCAGCCTGTCCCAATCACTTCCAAGCCCCGCCCCCAGCCTGTCCCAATCACTTCCAAGCCCCGCCCCCCAGCCCCTGCACCGGGCACTGTCCTTTAGGGCTCAGTAACTAGAGTGCAAGTTTGAGGCCCGCCTCGGCTACAGTGAGACTATGCAAGTCTCTCCAGTGCCTCTGTGTGTCCCAGCTCTGTGACTAAGCTGTGTGGCTTTGGGCAGATGACTGCCCTCTCTGATCCTAGCTTCCAGGTTATTAATAGGGTAAGTTCCTGGCATAACCAGTCCCCTTAATCTCTGTCTCTGGGGACCTTTAGATGATTCCAAATGAGCTATCAAGCCAGCACGGCTCCCCTGCTCATCCTGGGCCAGAAGCAAGCTTGGGAATTGTCTCCTTCAACTTCTGAGGGCTAATAATCCATGCTTATTACCCTCTGAGAATGCTTGAGCAAAGATGGGTAGAGGGGGCTGGTGTGGCAACAGGGCTGTCTCGATCTTTGTGCCGACTGCCCTCCCTGCCCTGCCCCTCTCCACACAGAACCTCCTGAGCCTGCCCGTCTGCGTGCTGATGGACCCCGATGTCAGGATCTTCTTTTATCAGTCTGCATACGATGCAGAGCAGGTGCCCCAGGCGCTCCGCCGGCTCCGACCGCGCACGCGCAAAATGTAGGTGACCATCTCTGCACCCGCTCAGAGCCTGCAATTGAGTCCCGTCTCTAGCCCCCAGGGGTCGCTGCTGCTCCTCATTCCAAAGGGTGCTGGGCTCCCTTCCAACCCTGACCCTCATAAAAAACTAACCCGGCAAACCTAGCGGCACCACGGTGGTGGAACGGCACAGGTTTCTGAGCAGTCACTTCTTTTAAAAGCCAAGGAAAAATAGGGCTCCTGATCCCAAACCTCCCCTAAATGCGCTCTCTTCCCAGCCACTTCCCTGTGTGCCTAGGAAGGCACCGTCTGAATTCCAGTCACTCAGGGACCTCCCACAGCCTCAGTTTCCTGGGCTGAAATGGAATAACAGCACAGTGAGAGAGTTTGGCTCTGCGAGCCAAGCTGAGGACAGGTGGAGAGTTAACCGCTCGGAGCCACGACCTCCTCTCCAACCCTTCTGCAAGCTCTGCCCCCGGGGTCTTCTGTGGGAGAACAGCCGCCCCTGGGGCGGTGGTGGGGATACGGTTTAAAGGGCTGGGTTTAAAGGGCTGGTGGCAGCGCATAATCTGTCTTTCCAGGCCTCCCCAACCCAGAAACTGAGCCCTGGGGGATCCACAAGGCTGACAGCCCTTTTCTTTCCATAGCAAGGGTGTGTCTCCACAAGGCGCTGGCGTGGACCGCATGGAAGCTCCGAGAGCAGAGGTATCCACAGGCTAGACCTCACCCGTGGCAGCTACCGAGCCTGCCTGCTGTGCCACACTGTGCATTTGCGCGGTGCTGGGTTCCGGACAGGAAGGGGGTCCACAGCCTCAGCCTTGGATGCTGAGCACCCCCGCCTGACTGAGGGCAGGGCAGGGCCCAGCACACAGAAACAGGGGAGTGTGCGGCCATCCATCAGCTCATCCAGAGTTTGCTGGGGTTCTTGGGCCAGCCTGGCCTGTGGGCTGAAGCCTCAGACACGGCCTTGCCCTCTAGACACATACAGCTCCAGGAGCACTCCAATGGCGTTTCAAACCCAGTGTGGGCTGTGCCCTGGTAGAGCTGAGGGTGCAGGAGGGCTGTGGCCTACAGCGAGGCCAGGGAGGTGGGGGAGCAGGACAGGCCCCGCTCAAAAGTTTGGGTTCTCCCCTGTACGTGGGCCCTGCCAGCTCTGAAGGGACCACCTGCCCTGCAGTTGGGGAGACCGGGGCTCCAACCTGAGGTCCTCCACAAACAGAGGGGCTGTGCCAACACCCTTCCAAACCTCAGTTTCCACACCCGCGAAAAGGGCTGCCAAAGTAGTTGTAGGCCTTCAAGGGCTCAACAGGCATTTTCTCCCTCTCAGCGTGGTGCCCTTTCCCTCAGGCCCTGTTTGACTTCACTGGGAACAGCAAACTGGAGCTCAGTTTCAAGGCTGGAGACGTGATCTTCCTTCTCAGCAGGGTCAACAAAGACTGGCTGGAGGTGAGGCAGGGGAGGTGATGTCAGAGGCAGTGGGAGTGAGGATGAAGAGAGGATGGAGGTGAGGGTGGAGATGAGGATGGAGGTGAGGATGGAGGTGAGGGTGGAGTTAGATGGGGATGGGGTGGGAGGGCCGGTGGCGGTAGCGGAGGTGAGGGTGGAGAAAGGATGGACCTACAGTTATATGTGAGGATGGAGACGAGAATGGAGATGAGGATGGAGGTGAGGGTGGAGATGAGGATGAGGTGAGGATGGAGGTGAGGATGGAGACGAGAACGGAGATGAGGATGGAGGTGAGGGTGGAGATGAGGGTGGAGGTGAGGATGAGGTGAGGATGGAGGTGAGGATGGAGACGAGAACGGAGATGAGGATGGAGGTGAGGATGGAGGTGAGGATGGAGGTGAGGGTGGAGATGAGGATGAGGTGAGGATGGAGGTGAGGATGGAGACGAGAACGGAGATGAGGGTGGAGACGAGAACGGAGATGAGGATGGAGGTGAGGATGGAGACGAGGATGAGGTGAGGATGGAGGTGAGGGTGGAGATGAGGATGGAGGTGAGGATGGAGACAAGAACGGAGGTGAGGGTGGAGATGAGGGTGGAGATGAGGATGAGGTGAGGATGGAGATGAGGATGGAGGTGAGGGTGGAGGTGAGGATGAGGTGAGGATGGAGGTGAGGGTGGAGGTGAGGATGAGGTGAGGGTGGAGATGAGGGTGGAGATGAGGATGAGGTGAGGATGGAGATGAGGATGGAGGTGAGGGTGGAGGTGAGGATGAGGTGAGGATGGAGGTGAGGGTGGAGGTGAGGATGAGGTGAGGATGGAGGTGAGGATGGAGGTGAGGGTGGAGATGAGGATGGAGATGAGGATGGAGGTGAGGGTGGAGGTGAGGATGGAGATGAGGATGGAGGTGAGGGTGGAGACGAGGACGGAGGTGAGGATGGAGGTGAGGGTGGAGGTGAGGATGGAGGTGAGGGTGGAGGTGAGGATGAGGTGAGGATGGAGGTGAGGATGGAGACGAGAACGGAGATGAGGATGGAGACGAGAACGGAGGTGAGGATGGAGGTGAGGATGGAGGTGAGGGTGGAGATGAGGATGGAGGTGAGGATGGAGGTGAGGATGGAGGTGAGGGTGGAGATGAGGATGGAGGTGAGGGTGGAGGTGAGGATGAGGTGAGGATGGAGGTGAGGATGGAGACGAGAACGGAGATGAGGATGGAGACGAGAACGGAGGTGAGGATGGAGGTGAGGGTGGAGATGAGGGTGGAGGTGAGGATGGAGGTGAGGGTGGAGGTGAGGATGAGGTGAGGGTGGAGGTGAGGATGGAGACGAGAACGGAGATGAGGATGGAGACGAGAACGGAGGTGAGGATGGAGGTGAGGGTGGAGGTGAGGGTGGAGATGAGGGTGGAGGTGAGGGTGGAGATGAGGATGGAGGTGAGGATGAGGTGAGGATGGAGGTGAGGATGAGGTGAGGATGGAGGTGAGGATGGAGGTGAGGATGAGGTGAGGATGGAGGTGAGGGTGGAGACGAGGATGGAGATGAGGATGGAGGTGAGGGTGGAGGTGAGGGTGGAGGTGAGGGTGGAGGTGAGGATGAGGTGAGGATGGAGGTGAGGGTGGAGACGAGGATGGAGATGAGGATGGAGGTGAGGGTGGAGATGAGGATGGAGGTGAGGATGGAGGTGAGGGTGGAGGTGAGGATGAGGTGAGGATGGAGGTGAGGATGGAGGTGAGGGTGGAGGTGAGGATGGAGGTGAGGGTGGAGATGAGGATGGAGATGAGGATGGAGGTGAGGGTGGAGATGAGGATGGAGGTGAGGGTGGAGATGAGGATGGAGATGAGGATGGAGGTGAGGGTGGAGATGAGGATGGAGATGAGGATGGAGGTGAGGGTGGAGATGAGGATGGAGGTGAGGATGGAGGTGAGGATGGAGACGAGGATGGAGATGAGGATGGAGGTGAGGATGGAGGTGAGGGTGGAGGTGAGGATGGAGATGAGGATGGAGGTGAGGGTGGAGGTGAGGATGGAGGTGAGGGTGGAGATGAGGATGGAGGTGAGGGTGGAGATGAGGATGGAGGTGAGGATGGAGGTGAGGGTGGAGATGAGGATGGAGGTGAGGGTGGAGATGAGGATGGAGGTGAGGGTGGAGGTGAGGATGGAGGTGAGGATGGAGGTGAGGGTGGAGATGAGGATGGAGATGAGGATGGAGGTGAGGATGGAGGTGAGGGTGGAGGTGAGGGTGGAGACGAGAACGGAGGTGAGGATGGAGGAAGGGTGGAGGTGAGGATGAGGTGAGGATGAGGTGAGGATGGAGGTGAGGATGAGGTGAGGATGGAGGTGAGGATGGAGGTGAGGATGGAGGTGAGGGTGGAGGTGAGGATGAGGTGAGGATGGAGGTGAGGATGGAGGAAGGGTGGAGGTGAGGATGAGGTGAGGATGGGGTGGAGGAAGGGTGGGGTGAGGCAGTTTGGGTTTGTTGCACAGGCAGACACTGTGAAAGTATCTTGGGAAGCCTGAGGGTAGCAGTCCTCTGTGATAGTCCTCGAGGGCCCAGCAGGTGCGGGTGACCTGTGAGTTATAGGCATTGCAGAGTCAAGAGTGTTGATGAAGCAGAGCATTCTCCCCACGGCGCATGCTGAAGTCAGAGAACGGTTTTCAGGACTTGCCTCCCCACTCCACCAGGCTGGTCCCGGGGGTGGAATTCAGGCTGTCAGGGTTTGCTGCAAGCCTCTTCACCCCTGAGCCGTTGCACAGCCTCCCTTCTTTAGTTTCCAGATCGCTAACGAGACTTTTAGGAACTGATACTCTTAGCTTTGGGGACTGGTAATTCCTGGGGAGGGTGGGCCTTTCTGTGCAGTGCAGGGCGCTCGCAGCATCCTGCTCTCCCCGCCAGATGCTGGCAGTGTACCAGTCACAGCAACCACACAGGTCTCCCCATGCTTGCTTTGGGGGTCAGACTTCCCCCAGTGAGAGATGTGGGGCTCATATGTGATAATGTTGCATCCCTGGCCAGCAGCAAGGATGACTGTAAGGGCAGGTGTCCATGCTTGAGGCCACTTAGTGGAGGAGCACTTGCCTGGTGTGCAAGGTCCTGGGTGCCACCCCCCAAACTGCAAAACAACAACAGGACAGAGTACTTGACCAGCGTGTCTGGACTGTTCACTGTTTTTAGCTTGGACCTCAGGAGGTTGCTCAATCCCGTGGTTTCCTTTCCTGTAAATGACGAAAACACTGTTTCTTCATCAGTTCCTGGCAGGGATAAGGGAGAGGTGGATGTCGTCTAGGCCTTGTCACCAGAGAGTCTGGGTGCCTTGCTCCTGGTGCATGTAACGGTCCCGGGGATGAGACCCTGAAGCTGGGAACCCTGGCTGTTACTTTGCTCCACAGTGACCTGCGCCTAGCCTTCTCTATCGGATAATATTGTCACTATTGGACACTCAGTGTCTAGAGGAAGCTCTGGTCTCTGGTGTCCCGGGGCTGGAGAGGCATGAGTGTGGCTGGTGCAGGGACTGGGCTGTTTGAGCTTCTGCCTCTCTGCGCTCACCCAAGAGGCCGCTCTGGTGACCCTGTCATATGACCTGGTCCAGTTTTCTAGAAAGTCTTACTGACTGGATTGTGGCCATCATCAGATCCTAGATGGCAGGAATTGGAACCTCAGCTTATGGCACAGAGAAGATGTGAGCTCAGGCATCAAAGATGACCTGAGCTCATCCCTAGGAGCCTCCCCCACCCCCGTCCTGATTTCCACACGCGTGGCTATCTGCCACAGAGGGCCTGTATGTTCACATGCCCCCTGCCATTCTGTGCTGTCAGTAGTGCTGCATGGAGGAACAGTAGTGATGTAACTCCAGAGACCAGCGCTTTTGACACAACGGTGCTCAAAAAAAAATCTTTGCTGAAGCAAAGAATGAGGAAAGGGGGAGAAGAAGAAGAGGGGAGAGGAAGAGGAAGGACGGAGGGGGAGAGGATGGAGGGGAAGAGGATGGAGGGGGAGAGGAAGGATGGAGGGGGAGAGGGAGACACATACAGCTTTCCAGGTGAATTCAGAGTTTTTCTCTAACTGAAGTGCTGGTCTTCTGGGTTGGGCAGCTTGGGGAACCTCCTCACCTTTCTGCTCTGTGTTAGTTGGCTTTGGTCACTGTAACAAAACACCCAAGGCAGCTAGCTTATGAAGAGAAAAGGTTGTCTATGGCTCACTATTTGATATCTCCAGATCCTTACCAAAGTGACTCTGTGCTGAGACCACTCGTCATGACGGAAGCGTATGAGAGCACTAAACTCTTGCATCGTGAGAGCGCTAAACTCTTGCATTGTGGTCAGGAAGAAAAATGTGAAAAGTAAATGAATAGAGAGTTAAATAAAGAAAACGGAAAGAAGAAAGAGCTAGGCCCCCCGCTGCCCCGTTGAGGGGCCCTCTCCCCAGTGACAGAAGACACTTCCACTAGGACTTGCTTCTCCAAGCTCCCACAGCCCCCAGCAGAGCCACCAGGGGTCCATGCCTTTGACACATGGACTTTGGGGGACAATCTACAGGACCTTGTCATCACAAAGAGTGTGGGGCTCTGAGACGCGCCCCGGGTCTCTCTTCCAGATGAGGAAGCTTCTTTCCCCCTACAGGGCACAACCCAGGGAGCCACCGGCATCTTCCCAGGTTCCTTCGTGAAGATCCTCAAGGACTTCCCCGAGGAGGGCGACACCACCAGCTGGCTGCGCTGCTACTACTACGAAGACACAATCAAGACCATCAAGTTGGTGGCCTGCTGGGAGACAAGGGCGGCTCACCCTCCTTGCCACCCCATCACGCCTCTCTCTCCCAGTCTACACACTGGTGTCGAGTCTCCGTCCCCTCCCTGCCCTGCGGCTGTGGCTCCCATTGCCTTCCAGATACACCACAGGGGCTATGACAAGCTATTGCTGAATTTGAGCCTGGCCCCCAAGCATGCCCCCAACCCTGATGTTTCCTCTTTCTACTGCCCCCCTTAGAGACATTGCGGTGGAGGAAGACCTCAACAGCACCCCTCTGTTCAAAGACCTGCTAGCGCTCATGAGGTGAGAGGTTGGGTGGGAGAGAAGAATGGGGTGGAGGGGCAGGCAACCACCTGTGACAGCTCCAGTCCCTGCAGCCCCCGCAGCCTCCGCAGCCCCCGCAGCCCCCGCAGCCCCCGCAGCCCCCGCAGTCCCCGCAGCCCACGGTGCCTTTAGACAAGAGCCAAGCAGGCTGCAGAAGGCCAGGGCTCACCTGAAGTCAAAGCGTGTGACTGCGGGGCTGCTGTTAGAATACATCTCTGTTTGAAAGCCTTGAAGTTGGGCACAACCCCCAGCCGGGGAAATCACCACCACCCTGCAGGCCAGGCCACTGCCGGACTGTTACTTCATTGAACCATCACGAGCTGTCCCACCTCTTACCGTAAAAGCGATGCAGCTTGTAATGCGAACGCAGTGCCGTAACCGTCATTCACCCTCTTGAGTGCTCAGATACTTCAGAGCATGCACACAAATACAAACACTCTCTCTCTCTCACACACACACACACAAAAGCCACACGCAAACACACAAAGCCACACACAAACACACGAAACGAGACACACCCACAACACAAAGCAAGTGCAAACACAGAACCCCCAGACATACACATACACACGATATACACGACATACAACACAAAAGAGTCATTCATAAACACAAGGAAGCACAAACAGGCATCAGCACCGCGGCACAAAGATGCACACATACGGACACACAAAACGCGCATACACAGAAACACGAACAAAGGGGCACACATACACTCACAGCGCCCCCGGCCATGCCTATTCCCCTCCTTGTTGCTGCTGTCAGTGTCATTGTGCTTTATTCATTATTTTCTGGGGGTAACTTTCAAGAATTATAATCACGGGATAGAAATTCTGCAAGGTGATTAGATTAGTCCTGCTGGGTCAAACATGGGAAGCCAGTTCAGATCTTGTTCCCACCAGTCATGTGGAAGCCTGGTCACCCCCACTACCCCCCCCCCCGCCACAGCTGTCTGCTGGCTCCCACAGGCCTCCCTGGGCTGCCTCGCCCTCTGTTCTTAGGAAACTCAAGTCTTCCACCCACTCACTCATATGCAAGATGCTTCAGGCTGCACCACTAATGAATTACAAAGCTCCCTCTTCCTTTCGTGCCTCAGTTTCCCCATCTGAAGAATGGGAGTACAGTTGCTCGGCTGATGAGGGCCAGTTCCATGCTCTGTGGACCCAAGGCCCTGGCTTCTCCCTGGGAGCCTCAGACTAACCCTGATGTGTTCCCCCAGGCGTGAGTTCCAGAGAGAAGACATCGCCCTCAATTACCAGGATGCTGAGGGGGACCTGGTTCGGCTACTGTCGGATGAGGATGTGGAGCTCATGGTGAGGCAGGCCCAAGGCCTTCCCTCCCAGAAGCGCCTCTTCACTTGGAAGCTACATGTCACCCAGAAGGACAACTACAGTGTCTACAACACGGTGCCCTGAGTCATTGGGGTCCCTGTAACAAGGAAGGGGTGCTCCTCAAAAGGCCTACCCCCCTCTAAGAACATGAGCACCTCAGGGAGGCTAGGATGAGGTGCAAACCTAGGCCAGTGGCTGGTGTGCCCGCTGGACCAGGATTCTACTAAAAATTGTTAAATAAACCATTTTTTCTTGAAGGACCAGACTTGAGAAATGGAATTTTGTGGATAGTAAAAGGCCATTGACTAGGGTCTGTTGCCCTTCCAGGTGATGTTATGGGGACCATGGTGAACCCTGATCTCCCCCACAGGGAGCAGACTGCCTGAATCCCCTGCCCTCCCAGCCCTGGGCTAGCCCGTGGAGATGCAATGGCAGGCGGTTGTGATAAATAGCCTGCGTCCCAGAGCTGCCGTGACAAAGTACCGTATGAGCTCCCTCTCGTATGTCTTCTCTCTGCGGGCACCTGTCCCTGTGTCCAGTTACCCCTTTTTGTTGGGTTACCTATTAGGCTGAATTAGGGCCCATAATCATGGCCCCATTTTAACTTGATCACCTTTATAAAGACCCCATTTCCCGAAGCTGCCATGCCCTGCACTTTAAGTGGGAGCTTCCACATGACATTTTCAACTTGGACATATCAATTCAGACTATAACCCTCATGCTGTTCCCACTGAAAGGACAGGGGGTCTGCCACGGGCGCAGACGGCCAAGGCCGTGGTGATACAGCCTCGTTGACGAGCAAGGTTTCCATGACAGTAGAGAAAACCTGGGAAGACCAGGAGACAGTGTGCCTCCGGGGCTCATCTGCAGAAGAGACTCGGCAGAGACTCCAGGACAGGCAGACTGACTTTACCGACACCACCCGGCTCTGGCTCGTAGGCTCTGGCCATGGAAAAAGACGGGATTTAAGGATGCTGAGCCATACTGGCTGTTTTTTCTTGAAAAGAAAGCGGGAGAAGTCACCAAAACGGAGGGCCACTGGGATGGAGAGATAGACCAATAGGTAGAGCACTTGTCACATGGTGGGTTCAAATCTCCAGGACCCACGTAAAGCTGGTCACCTTGCGGAACTCGTCTGCGATCTTGACAAGCCTAAAGGAAGATGGGAGGTGAAGGCAGGAGATGCCCGGAAGCTCACGGCCCCGCTAGCCAGGCACGCTCTGAGTTGACGATAAAAGAACCCGTCTCAACCGATGTGGAAGGAGAGAACACCCGAGATGGTCCTGACTTCCACAAACGGCACACACACACACATAAAGGGTTCCAGATAATGGAGGCTGCAGTGAGCGGCAATGCAGAATAAACTGTCAGCTCCAGGAAATGCAAGGCCAGAAGCGCAGTGGTGAGCCCAGGAACGGACTCCTAACCAAGCACAGGGAGTCTCCCACTCACAGGCCTGGCCCACACTTAAGGGTGAAAACCTACCTGGCCCAAGGCCTAAACACAGCTGTTTACCAATAAACAACTCATGCATACTTAATCCTAGGAAAGAGGCTAAAAAGACCAAGGAGGAAAAATCTTGGCAGGCACATTATAAATTAACATAGTAGGTACAATGGACTTGAAAGAGTTAGTTCACCCCAAACACTACATGTGAACTCATGACCAAAACAGACAATAATAACATTAAGCTTTAAGGGGAAAGAGAGAAAGTCAGTACATACATTTGCTATAATTTATTATTTAAAATGTTCAGCTCTTGGAAAAAACAACAAAAAACAAACAAAACAACAACAGAAGAAAACATGAGAAATTCGAAGAAAAGAGCACAGTCAGTTCCTAGAGGGGTAAGGGGGTAGGTCATAGAATTGCCTTTGAGGTTGGGCCGGATGTTGGGCTTAGCAAGCAGGGACCTCAAAGGTTTGGTGTAAGTAGGCTCAACCCATACCCGAGGGATTAGACGACAGTATAGAATCAATGAGCACTCCCACAGAGACTTGCACACCTGAGTGAGCTTGAGAACAGGAATTATATTGCACTGCTAGAGTTAAAAAGTAAAATAGCTGAAGTGAGGAATCCACGGTATCAATGCTAGATTAGAATGGGCTAAGAGTAAGCACACTGAGAGATGGAGCCAAAGAGACAGGGCTGTTGTCACGCCTTCGCAGCACTGTGGAGGCCTGCACAAGACCAAGCCAGTCAGATCCCAGCATAGATGAGGATGCCTTGGAGGACCTCGCCCTTGCAGGGGAACTGTTAGTAGTGGGTGGTTGCTGTGAGGGAAAGACACTCTCTTTTGAGGATGTGGCTACTGGTAGGTTTCCCTTGTTCTAGTGCAAGTCCACCACGCCCATGCGCAAATGGGCGACACTAACTGAACTTAGTGAGTTACCAAACTTCTTTCTAAGAAGCAAATCTTACTTGGTGCAATCGTCATCTCTAAACAAGACAGTCGCATTTAGCGGCCCCAGTGGCCTCTGCTATCTCTTGTTTTGATGACTCCCTTGGGGCTTTATGTCTACCTAAAGTAAAATGTCCAAATTGGAAGTGAGTGTTGGCAGATGATGAAGATATAGATAAGGGCACCAATAAACTTACTAAGCCGTCTGGGGACCACTGTGTTGATCGTCAGTAGGAGAAAACTGCTCTGCAGAATAAGCAGTTGAGGACCCCTAACTAATCACCCTCCCCCCGTTTTTGATCACTACACCCGATGTCCAAGTGTCCAGGCATTCAGGAGTAACTGAGAAAAGCTACTGTCTACCATCTTTGAACAGAGCATCCTGCTTATCATCTGTTATCATTCAGTTGAAACTCTGTGTGTGTGTGTGTGTATGAGAGAGAGAGAGAGAGAGGGAGGGAGGGAGGGAGGGAGGGAGGGAGGGAGGGAGAGGGAGAGGGAGAGAGAGAGAGAGAGAGAGAGAGGGAGGGAGGGAGGGAGAGGGAGAGAGAGAGAGAGAGAGAGTACGTGCGCGCACACACGCATGTGTGGAAGTTGGACAACCTTGAGTGTCATTCTTCAGCACCTTACCCTTTTGGTTTGAGGCAGGGTCTCTCCTTGGCCTTGGACTTCATCAAGGCTAGCTGCCAGCAATCGTGACCCACCATACTTGGCTTCTGTGGGAGTTTGGGGCATTACACTCAGGTGATTGTACTTCAACAGCAAGTCTTCACTGACTGAGCCATCATCTCTCCAGCTCTGGAGAAATGTGTTCTGACTCAGTAAGGGTCCCTTCTAACCAGTGGTGCCTTCCCAGTGGTGTCATTATGAACTGGGAAGAAATGCCTGCCTGTCAGCTCCTTCCTGGACTTCCTATGAAAAGTATGGCTCAGTTTTTACGTCTCCTTAGGGTGTGTGTGCTATGTGGCCTCTGTACAGGGAATTTTGGAGCAAGAGTGAGCACTTTTTTTTTCCGACTATAAACACACTACAGTCACAAGGCCTAAGATTCCACAATTCCCTCAGGGTTATTCACACAATGGCAGGGCTTTCGGGCATGGGGTGGTGGTGCTGATAAATCAAAATTGACTGCTTGACCCAGATTCTATGAGTAAAGATGTTTGTAGACAAATGTGCCCACTGAGGTATGGAGAGTGTCTTGTAACTAATGATCCTCACAGAATACAGTGATAAGCCCAGGAGTGTGTGCTCGGGAGAGGGCGTAGCTGATGTGGACAGCCAGGTTGACTGTGACTCATCTGTGGGTTGCTCTGCTTCATGATGGGGAAATGGCTGGTGGGGACAGATAAAAGTGGAGGGTGAGATGGCTCAGGGGTTATATGTGTATTTGCTAGTTACTGATCTTGAGCCATTTGTAATGCGTGATGACCAGTGAATCATGGGAAATGCTCTCACTGGAAATGGGCCTCTAACAGTTGCAGTGGTACACGCTGGTAGGATATGCTGAAGGAGGTGGAGGCAGAAGGATCACCAGTTCGAAGCCAGTCTGGGATACAAGGCTAGTTTAAGGACATCCAAGGCTACATTAAAAAAAAACCCTGTCTTGAACAACCCCCCAAAACAGAAGTGGACCTCTTTTAATTTGTTATCCTGTGGTGTTTAACAAAGGGCATTGTTGCCCCATTATAAGGTAACAGCATTTAAACTCTTTATGTATGTATGCGTATACATTTTAGGAAGCTTCTACAGTAGTAGGTTTCCACTTTTTTTTTCAAAGAATCTTTAGCATTATTTATATCTCTTCACATTCCCTCTTCTACCCTGCCCTCCCATCCTCCTCCCCATTAAACTCCCCCTGTACCAGTCTCCCCTTTAACCTTTTATACTACTCCATTCTACCTCTTGAAACCCTCCATTGCTAATTTCCTGACCTCCGTGTCCTTTGCTTTGGTTTCTACCTCCAGGTTCCTGTTGAAGCTCTGACCCTGACTTAAAAACAGTGATGCAGTGTGACCTGAAAGTTGTAAAATGAGATTAACTCCTTGCCCCCCACACACTAAGTTGTTGTTGTTCAGTGTTTTATCACAGCAACAGAGAAACAAATTAAGGCAGAAACCGGTATCAGGAGTGGGGTCATGCTGTGACAGACCTGACCATGTGGCCTTTGTGTCCTGGAATGTTTTGTGGAGGGAAAGTGGAACATTATGGATCTTTGGGCTGGAAAAGCCATTGATTACTCAAAACTTAAGGATTTGTTGTGAGTGCATGGAAGATAACGCTGAGTGTGATACAGATGATGGGTGCTGGGTGTGTGAAGTTTAGGGGGTAATGAAGGCTTTCTCGGGGTCATTTATAGAATAGTTTGAATTAAAAATCTGTGGAACTTGAACCTTTCCTCTGGGGCTGAAGAATCAGAACCATGAGGTAGAATCTTCTGGGAAGTGTTTTCTCAGAGTCAGCACACAAAAACTGTGGTCCAGAGGGAGCTATGGCTGCATCCCAATCTGGAAGCCAAGCTTGGTAACGTGTAAGAGTCCCTTTCGTGACTCTGCTTTTGGAAACATGAAAGCCGCAAGATTGAAGGTGTCAGTGGGTGCGAGAAGATGAGGTCTGGCACTGTGAGGCCAGGAGAGGTTATGGGTGAGGGTACAGCCTCAGATTAAGGGGGTCATGGAGAGAAGCAGGGGCTTAGCACCATGTGTCAGGATCAGAGTTACTGAAGAAAGGCAAGGAGGCCGTTGGTAAAGGTATAGAGTCAGACTCAGTGGAGACCCCAGCGTACTGGAGATGCCAAGATCTGGGTAGAGAGGAACAAGACTATCAGACGAGCTGTGTGGGCTGAAGATGACAGAGCCA